CTTTCAGAGAGCCTATTAATGATATTAACGATCATGATCAAAGGCAAACCCCAGAGGTTTATGTAAAATTTTGGACAATTATTTAGGTGCTTTAAGACCCATCTTCTGAACGAGGGTAACAATTTCTCAGTGTTGGTGAAGACCAGAGGTGTGTTTGGATGTGTAGGCTCTAAAGCAGCAGAACCAATGTAGAGGGGCCTTCAGAAGAAAACAAAATACATCTCTTTGTAAGATTAAAATGCATGACTGTTGACTGACAACTCGTCCCCAAAGCCATTCCTACTCATTTACTTGCAAGTAGGTGGTATTCTTCTGATTTGCAGAAAGCTCCTCTTCTAAGAATACTCAGCTGACCCTGTCTCCATTAACAGAAAACCCCTCTTCTAAAGATACTCAGCCCACCCTCCCTTTTAACATCCGCTATTTACATGCACGCTCCACATTTTTAAACAATAGTTCTTAACTATGGTGTCTCCTGAGTATCATTATTTGACGAGCTTTAAAAATCCCAACACCCAGATCAAACCTCAGGGATTCTGATTGAACTAGACTCGCAGGCGTCCCCAAACTACGGCCCTCGGGCCGCATGCGGCCCCCTGAGGCCATTTATCTGCACCTCCCTGCCCCCGCGCCCCCCGCCGCACTTCAGGAAGGGGCACCTCTTTCACTGGTGGTCAGTAAGAGGAGCACAGTATGCAGCGGCCCTCCAACGGTCTGAGGGACAGTGAACTGGCCCCCTGTGTAAAAAGTTTGGGGACGCCTGACAGAGGCTACCCAGGTAGGTGGCCAGTGTAGAAAACCATTTTCAAACAGATGGAGAAATTAATACATGAGAGGGGTATGTTTAACCCGATGCACTAAAAGCTGTGTTTGGCACTTAAACTATTAGAGATAATTTTCTTTGACAGATGAAGAAACTAAGGCCTGGGAGCTTACATGACTTGTACCAAAATACATAAAACCAATTAGTGGCAAAGCAGCAGCCTGGACCCAGAGATTGCAGCTTGCAGCCTCATGCTATTATGCAATCCCCAGATCCCAAGCCCAGCCCCCATGGACAGGGCAAGGCATCTTTCCTGTGGGTTAGGCCAGATGGCAGGCTACCATGACCAAAACACTAGGAAGAAATGAGCTATGCCTCATACACTGCGGTGGTTCTCAGCATTGCACGCACAGCTATTCCAACCTGATACTCAAATGCTTCTGAAGAGTTAGGTACAAAACTACAGAAGTTAAAAAAACAAAACACTACAGAAGTGTGCAGTACTGAAATAAAAGACAGTGTAGACAGCCCAGGACTTCATCAGTTCTGAGTAAAGATTATATCCACTTGGAAAACAGAAATGAATCAATTTGGGGAATGTCAAGATTCCTGGAAAGGAGTCAAAGTGCCGTAGTTTAATCCTGCCAAAGAGGTCTATCTTAGCTCAGAGTTGGGAGCAGAATTGGGAACAAGTCCACACTGTATGCACCCCAAAATCTTATAGGTCAATTTAATCTAAATGCTTCATGCTGGGTTATCACTGCCTAAATCTATAAGGCCAATGGTTAAATGGAAAGCTCCTTTGATTATTTTACAACGTATTCAAAACTGCAGGATTATTTCAACAAATTAAACACTTTTTTTACAAATACAGCATAATTTAAAATAGCATGTTCAGAAAAGGGCAATTTAGGTATGTATTTTTGGGGGTTAATTCACTTGTTTTTGAAGAACAAAAGCATACACACTAATTTTTTAAAACAATTTTACTGTATTCATAAAACAGTATATTTATGTCAAAATGTACTGTTTTATAAATAAAGAGTAAAATTGTTTTACTGTTTTACTCTTTATTCATAAAACCTTAGGCCTGCACAACTATTGAATTATTTAAAGAGTTTTAAACAAAACGAAATGAGAAGATAAGGAAAAAAGAGCTCTCCTGGTGACTTATTGCCATGTTTGGCTCTGATTGAAGAAAATTATTTGGGGGATCTGTCCAATTCACACCTTCTTTTCCCTAATCAAATACTTTAGAGTCAAACATACGGTTTTTTGATTTTTGCTCAAGCAAAGAATTAAAATTTTTGATAAGGAACTGTGAGGTAATACGATGTATGGTAATATTATGCTGCCAAAGGAAATATTTGAATATGATTAAATTCAAGCTCAGTGCCGGGTAGCTCTAGATAATTAAAGATAATTTTATCCATTCAAGTCTCCCCTGTTAAGCTGCACATTGACACATATTTGTTCCCTGTTTTGTTAAATAAATATGGAAACCAAATTAGAGGGAGTCCTGCAGATTTCTGAGAATTTAATTATACCCTTAAATTGCAATACCAATGATATATATGGTTAGACTTCTGTACTAGGTAATTATCTGAATTAAATTCATTTTACAACACTTAATTTATTTTGTACTAGGGAAGGCTTTTAACTATTTAAGATAAACCAATCTAATTTTGATTTTTTTACTTGCTTCAACCTGTTTCAATTCATTAATGTTTCAATAATAAGGAATGAACTCTCTTGTCTTGACAAACCAAGCATGAAAATTTTCTCATAAAAGAAGAAATTAAAATGATTTCCATATTCAAGTCACAGCACGCTGAAAAGAGAATTTTGGGTTCTTAGGAAAGCCACTGTCACCTCCAAAGGAGGGCCACTCATTACAGTTTTGTGGAAATATAGCAGGGCCTGCCAAGAAGGAATTCAAGGAAGCTGGGAATGGCGACACTATGATCCCAGGCCATTCTCTTGAGCAGAGTTTCCTTCCCTCATGCGTTCTGCCCTCGCCAAGCTCTTTTCTCAAATCAAAGGCCACTGATACGCACAACAATCCACGCTAAAATCCAAACATGACACCAAAAGCAAACAATTACACTGTGATCCCATTTCGGTCCCCAAGCTGTATCTTGAGATCTTTCAGAGATAAGCTGTATTCTCCATAAATCAAACTACAGAGAGTTTTTATGATTGTTGTTTTTTATAAAATGAAATACACTTCTATACTTCTATAGTATTAAAATAAGTGAACAAAAGAACTGCAGCACTTACTCCCCGACCCCCAAAAGCTTGCTCCTTTGCATTTTACAATTCATATGCATATCTGGATGACAGTTAAAACCTTTAGTGTCAAAGATAAGAAAATGTGAAAGAAAAATCATACAGATTGTTCCCAGATCTTTCTTGTTTATGGACACTGAAAAAAACCTCAACACCAATATATTAAGATGTCATCTGAAAGCACATGGAAGTGGCTTAGAATCCATGACACTAAGAAAGTTAGGAAAATAAAAGTTACAACATCAATCGAATTGGATCATTGACTTCTCCAAGATTGGGGTCACAGGAACTTGAATATAACTTGGGGTACCAGGTAAGTGGTTGAGTAACTTGTCCTTTTTGACTGAGAATACTGACAGTGTTTCACTTTCAGATGCCAAATTATTAAGATCATTAAGAATATCAAAACGCATACCATTCCCAACAGTGAGAACCCTTCATTTCCTACTCAATAAGCAACAATAACAACAACAAAACCCGGCATCCATTTACCCCTTTGTACTTCCAAATGTCCAAAGAATCACACAACCATTCAAATAACAAGAGATCCAGGGGTGCTTCAGACATGTGCAAGAAAAATGCTTAAAGGCAAAATTCCTCAAACACATGCCACAGTGTGGGAACTGAGAGCCATTTCCTCTGTAAACCCTGTTAAAATCCCTTTTACATGAAGGGATGTGAGGGCTGTGAGGAAGACCCCATCTATCTAACCAAAGATACTATTTTCCCTCTTAGATCACAGTAATTGTCATATCCCCAAATATAACAAACTCTAAAGCCAAGACTTTTCTTGACCGAGAATCATTCTAAGTATTAGCCCTAATCACCAAGCCCAGGTTAGCTAATGAAATAAAAACTTCTCAATACCAGAGTGACACTTCAGAGAAAGATGAGAAACAAAAAAACTTCTCAACAGAAATTTTCTCTGGTGGCTTTCCAGCTCAGATATCTCCCCCCAGTTCTGGAGCAGGCAGGGATTATTGTTCTTGTACGGATGTCATTTTAATTCGAGACTCTTTTCCAGAAAGCTGCTTCTTGGCCTATCCCCTGGGTTATTACTTGTGTCCTCCCTGTTTATAAATCGTTCTAATTGTTTCTGTTTAAGAAGATTCAGTGACACACCGTGGTCCTGTCTTCAATAAACAACACACCTAGAATACTGTTTGTTCCTAAGAGAGGGGCCTATGGTAGGCTGTGGAAATGCACATTCTACCAAGTACTGTGGAGGATTCCGCTCTGTGCAGTCCACCCCTAATGCGTAAGCAGAGTCAGCACCACTCAAGTTAGTATTCTATTGGGTTCCCTCATCGCCTACAGAATCTCTTGATTGGGTTCAGCTGGGAGCAGGAAAAAAGCCAGGAGGGACGAGGACAGGACACCAGAAGGCAGGGCTGTTTCCAGTGGGGATGGTGAGGCTGGATCATGGAACAGGGACAGGTTTCCAGGAAGGGTTTGGAATGTCAAAGTAACAGGATCTACCTCCACAGCCAGGTTCGGTGACCAAGACTGAACTTTATGACCCAAAATGGGGTCATGAAATATGGCTGCTGCTTCATGAGTCTTACCGAGTCTTAATAAGTAGGGACAGGAGATATGGGGAAGGACAGAGTGAGATGGAAGAAACCACTAATCCAGCTCAAGCATAAACCTACATTGTGCCTGTTTCTGTATTCTTTTCATTTTGTTGGGCTTTTCTGGGTGATTTTTCTGCTAACTTTAACACTTTAGGGATATACTTGGTTTTCCTTATTACTTAGGGGAGGTGCTATTTCAATGGCCCACCCCATGTTGAACAGAAAAAAAAAAAAAAGATGCATTAAATAAATGGACCTTGAACATTGTTTCCTTCCTGTTTCAGAATGAAATTGGATTAAGGAAATTTTTAGCAGGTGTCCATCCAAAATAAGTCATTGCTATAATTCACTACATGGCATTTCAGCAAACCCACCAGAGACAGTGGTAGACTATAAAGGGAAGCCTCCCGTTTTGAAATCTGAATTGCGTGTGAAGCCTTCCAACTGGAAAACTGGAAACTGGTCACTGAGTTCTCATTAGGTTTTGGTTTGTCCCAAACCAAAATCCTGGAGGTGGACGTGAGAGGAGGGACTGGGACAGGCTTGAGCCATAGGCAACAACAAGCCTCTCCAATGTCTTCCCCTCATACTGGGAAGAACTGCCCATCAACTTCAACAAGTATAGGGGTAAGTAACAGCTTTCTGGGTACCGTGGCTGCCACACTGCAGAACCCGGGAAGAGAGTGATCTATACCCCAAACCTAAGTGTTTTACAAGTTTGAGAGAGTCCAAGGGGATGCGTGTCCACATCTGCCTCCACCTGACGAGCTGGAGACCATGGCAGCCAGGCTGGAGGAAGCACCCGGGAGTGTTCCATTAGTCCAGTGGTTCTCAAACTCGAGCCTGTTTCAGAATCACCCAGAGGTAGTTACTCAGCAGGGGCAGGGCCCAATAACCACATTTCTAACACATTTCCAGACAAGGAAGCTGGTCCCAGGACCACACACAGTTCGTCCACTGCCTTACTACTCAGGCTGAGGAGTAGGGGGATGGATTGCACTCCTGGAGCTGAACGGCAGCATGGTGGTACTGTCTCTGTGTGGTCCGTTGCATACTGATGTCCCAAGAAGGGGCACATGATCAGTTTCTTCATGCAGTCCTTGCATACACTCTCCTTCCTGACAAGGTGAATGGCTCTTTGTCATAATACCAATTCTCTGAAGACAGACATAAAATGCAACGAGAAAGTAGCAATGCTGTTAGAACAAGCATATAGCCTCCTGGTTTGAAATGCTTTGACAACAAACCATAGCCACAACACAGATAACATACTTCCTATTTAAATTAATCATTCTAATTAGTTCCTTAAAAATCCCGGCATCTATACACACAGCTCTCTTGTCACAGGTTTGGCCCACTACGGTCCCCAACTCCAGCACTGCAATGCTCTTTGGTATTAGTGGCCCCTTTCATATTTCTTTCTTTTCTTGGTTGGGCTATTCTGAATTGCAGATAATCTTTCAGTGTTTGTGACTGAGCCGGTTTGCTGTGCCTGCCCTGGGTTATTTTTCATAAGATGTCTTGAGGAGAGACTTTCCACAACATGCAACTCTTCCTTAGATGTGGTTTTTGCCAAATCTTGTTTCAAAAGTAACCCTGGATCTGACAGCTCTAAAGCTGGCAAAACCCTAACAGCTTTGCTTTTTTCCACTATTATTTCTCTTGGGACTAATCGATCACTTCCAGGAGAAACTCTCTTGTGGTGGTCGAAGTCTTCCGCAGAGCTGCAGTTCCTTCGTTTCTGTTGGGTTTTGGCCACTCGTGGACTTTGTTTTGGACCTGCTGATGCTGACTCACAGCTACAGACAGGGCTCCCGCTTAGAAGCCCTGTCTGTAACCGCTCCCCAGGATGAGGTTTTTGCTGGCCGCTAGTGTCTTCTGGCTGGGTCTGATTAACTTTTTCCAGCTTTTGAACAGGAAGCCCCCAGTGGCTCTCAGCTGCCTTTATGTAATTCTTTGCTTGTCCTGTGGATTCCGATGTGGCACTGGAGGAAGCCCGACCATTATTCCTCCTCCTCGCTATCTCTGCAATCACTGAGTCACTAGATGTTTCCACAGTATCTCTTCTGGGCTGTGATTTGCTCATGACACTGCTTTTTGTTTCAGTTCTTTTCACACTGAAACAAACAAAAATGATTTTATGCTTTGTAAAGCTGTCATGGCACTGTTTTCTCCAAATTCCCTCTACCACATTTTCTTCACCCGAAAAAGCAGGCATGTATCACTACTTGCCTTCTCACCTCCTAGCAAATCTGGAAACACCCGCCACCACAAGTGTATGTTTAAATGCAGACTGAATCAAGCAAAAACCTTCACATTTTCCATTATACTAGGATACACTTGTTTATCAATCATTGGGTTAAAAATGGATTTATGATGGTGTTCACATTTTAACTAAGGCAAATAGATATTCATTTCTGATGTGAAGGGTCGGCACTGCCTATGTTTGATATACTGATTTTTTTTTTTCCCAGAAGTTGATTCAGGCTCTGTGTACACAAACGTGCACATACACATAATTTCTATTTGTGAGTAAAGAATAATCTTTTGAAATTTCTCAGGCTATTTCAAGATGTTACCCAAATACAATCACCATTTAGCTGGTGTCAGGTTTGCTGATCAAACTTACGGGAGAGGACTTAATATAATCTGAAATGTCCTGGAAGAAATTTCAGATAGCCAGCATGAAAGGCAATAAAGTACAATCGTGGAAGACAAGAAAATGTTGATATAGCTGTATATAAGCCCCTTGCTTCCTACAGCATCCACAACGAACAATGTAAACTTCACTCTGATGATAAAGTTAACTTTGAGGGGCAGGATAGAAGCTGCAGAGGGAGAAATCAGAGACTAAAGATCTTAACTTCAGCATATATTTACAGGTTTGTGAATGGCAAGAAATTTCCTCAACCACCAAAACATTGAAAGCTGAAATATTTATTTTGGCTAAACTTTAGTGTGAAAACAAATAAATATTTAATATTCATGTTCTTACTGTTGACACCAGGAGCACGAGGATTATCATAATTATACTGAAGTTGGAACAAGGATCTTAGGAAGGAATGTGTTTTTTAGATCTGTCTGTAGTTCCTCTGAAAGTGGCATGAAACACACCACCAACAGGTGCTTTTCATCTTCAAAGAACGTGTCATTAATTACTCCTTGCAACACACCTGTGAAGCAAGAACTCTATCCCCATTGTCCAGAAAGCAAGAGAGGCAGGAAGGAGGGGAGAGCAAGTCCGTGATAGAGGGGAGTCTGTGCTTCAGTTCCAAGCACTCTTTTTAATTCTAGACTTCATGTTATCTATCCATACATAGAGGCAGTCAAAATTGAGAAAAAGGAAACATATTGCACCTACATTTCTTTCAGAGCATTTCTCTGGAGCTTTGCACTGGGAGGAAGTGAACTCTCTGCACACTCAGCAAAGTAATCAGACACTCCATGGAGAACTCTTTTTGTCTACTCGAAAAGATAACAAAGGTTCAACCAGAAATCTATTAGCTGAACATGAGAGAAAACAGTTACACTCTGTCCCGATGAACACATTTATTTTTGTAAAGGCGAAATGAAACTGCTCAGTGGTAAGCTATTTTAACCTTTTTTACCTAGGACTTGCTGGTTAATTGTAACTTCTTTTGGACTCCCAATCCACACATTTCATACATTAATACGCGCCATAAACATACAAAGCTGTAATGCCAAGAATGTTGATTCCAAACCACCTGGGAACTCTTGGCCAATATCTGATATCTGTGAGGCTCAGGCTGTGACAAAAGCCCCAGAATTCCTGTGCGGGGCAGCAGCGTGCCTGTGAGCTGTTCTTACAGCAAGACCTGGTGGCACAGTGGTCTGCACCCTTATCATCCTAAGAATTCTCCATATTTTCTCTATCTGCAAAAATAAAGAATGTTTTGTAAAGCCCAATACCATAGCAACGGTCAAATCTTTTAATATTGGTATTTTGAAAACTGGAGTTTGTGATTCTTGGCTATTAGAACGCTCAGGACTTTTTTCCTTATACTAATCACCACTCTGGTTTTATGTAATTCAAAGATTATCTGCCTATCTACCCTTTTGTGTTCCCATGGAAGCATCATAAGAAAGTAATTATAAAATGTAAAAGCCTACTTGCCTTGCCAACATTAACCCACTTCATACTTTTGGAATCTCTTCTTTTGGTTATCAAGTAGGTAATCCAGACAAGGTGTTAACTCCTGTCGTTTTCTAAGACACTAAGTATTCTTCCCTATCAAATTTCAATAAAATGTTGCTACCACTAGAAACAGCTTTAGTAAGCTGTCAGTAGGTTCTTGCTTTAGACATTGGAATTAGCAGTGACCGCCCCAGAGCACCTGGTAGGTGGCAGCCATGAGTACCACGGGTTATCCTACAGGCGGAGGAAATGTGCTTTGCCTAATCACTGTCCTGAACCACTGAGGATGGGCTCTTCGCTCTCTTCAATTGTGACTATCCATCTCAGACCTGGCAGAGTGTCACTCAAAGTCATATCTGGTTATAATCCAAGTCAGTTTTAAGCTCGGGAACAGAATATTCTAGGTTTTATTGGATTTTATTGGATTATATTCTCTTTTTTTTGTTGTTTTCTAAGACTAAAATTAGTGACAGCTTAAAAGCCAAATAAGAGAAAGAGATGGAAAGAAATTGAGATTTATGTGTGAAACACTTCTAAACATGCCCTATAAGTACAGTAGATTTTCCCCTTACAACCACACCCTGTAAGTGCTGTATTTTCAGAGCTGAACAATTAACATAAGGAGCATGAGTCAGGCTTTGAACAACTCTGTGGGAACCAGAAAGCCTTTTGCTATTAGGAATGATGTAAATTCCCCAAGGCTGGAAGAAATCCACAATGGAAGGCAGACAGGGTCATAAATAACAACAATGAATACTGCATATACCACATAAAGTATGATGCTGTGATAGTGACACTCTCTTCAAATCTCATATTAAATTCAATCACTGCCTTTATTTATTTTAAAAATTCAGTTTAAAGAGTGCTATGCATTTCTTATGGGAACTTCAAAAACTCCTTTATGAAGCAGAGCAGTCAGCTCTCATCCCAAATTCCTCTGACAACAATGGAGGAAAATGTCCTTGGAAGAAAAGGGACAACAGAAGAGGTGACAGAGTGACAGGAGGAAATGTCCTGTTCAAAAAGTGTAAAATCTGTGACTTAGATTAAAAAAAAAAAAAAAAAAAGAGAAAAGAAGAAGAAAAAAAATAAGACAAGAAAGGCAAGGCGGGGTCTCTTGCTTACAAATTAAAACCACATTTGGCAATTTGTTGAAGGAGGCATATTTACATTTCTATGAAGACTGGGTGGGCAGGAAAAAAAAGATTAGACTCCCTCTTCAGCCCCTGAGCTGTCAGGTCTCATTAAAAATCTCTTATTCTAACATTTCTAGGGTCAATTCACTCCCCTTTGTCACTAAATCAGAGCCTCTGGTGCTGCTCCCTTCAGCCCCCAAACAAGTATTCCTAAGGAAGCAGCTATCACCTGGGAACAGGATTTCCTAAAGGGAGTCATACTGATTACTAATGGCTCCTCACATCTGGCATCAAAATGCAATCTGAGGCTTACCCAGAGGCACAATGCCAAGGTACAGATATATAATGTGTGCCAGGAGGGTTGCAAGTGCTTTCTGGGCTTACGAGGAGGACCCTACTACTTTTCAGATTCTGCCATGGATAATGAACCCATCATATTTTACAAAGAATGGAGGTAAACCCAACATATTCAAAGAGGCTACCAAAGAGTTGGCTATCCAAAGTCCAGAATGAGGACTCGTTCTGAGATCATGGGGACTCAGGTATTTAAAAAACAGATTAATCAACAGGATCTCTTAGGGTCTTCATAAATGATTCCTTACAACCTGGAAGCTAGCTCTTTCTTAGGCCAAGGAATAAAATTCTACAAGTATCATTCCTTGGTATAGTCCATTCCCAGCCATCTGCCTCACCACCACCTTACCTCTTATTTTGTTTTACTTTTTGGTTATACTTCGAAAATTTTTGATTCATAAGTTTTTCTCTATAAAGAGTGTCAGTACATAGTTCTAGGGCAAAACCAAACAGAAGCAGGGCAAGGCCTTGGTCTCTAGGGAGATACCCTCCCTCAGCAACCTAAGCAGTCTAGGCAGGCAACAGGGCAAGGGGTCAGGAATTTTTGCCATCTTTGGCGGTACTCTGGAGACCAGTGAATGTACCCCAAGGTTGACAATAGTCAAAGCACATGTCCCAGTACAGTATCAAGGGGAAGGCTGAACAGATGAATGAGTATGATGATAGGTGATATTACCCTAATCCTGTATGGGCTGATCTGGGTAACACATTTTAAATTCCAGGATAGAAAGGACTGTAAAGAGAGTCCCCACCAGGATAAGCTAGGTGACTAAGATATCCTTCTTGTCTCTAATCAGAAAACAGGTTGATTTGAGATGCACAAAATACTGAGCGAGGTGCAGTGGTTCATACTTGTAATCCCAGCACTTTGGGAGGCTAAGGTGGGAGGATAGCTTGAGCTCGGGAGATTGAGACTAACCTAGGCAACCCAGTGAACCCTAATCTCTACAAAAAATTAGCCAGGCATGGTGGCGTGTACTTACAGTCCCAGCTACTCAGCAGACTGAGATGGATCACTTGAGCCCAGGAGGTCAAGGCTGTAGTAAGCCATGATTGTGCCACTGCATTCCAGCCTAGGTGACAGAGTAAGGCTTTGAGAAAGGAAAGAAAAGAAAAAGAAAGAAAAGAAAAAGAACAGAAAAGAAAAGAAAGAAATACTGTGCAATGTTTAAGTCCCAAAAGCACACTGAAACTGTGGATAAACCAAGGAGTTCACCCCACAGTGATTTAGTAAAAATCGGATTTGAACAGAACACTGTTGGATTAATGGGAGATAGGGAGAGAAGTTGGCCTAAAACATCAGAGAAAACACCTGCTCTTGAGCTTTCAACCTCCTCACAAAGTCTGTAAAGTACAGGAGGGGCTCCCACAGGCCAGTGGAAAGACTGGCTGCATCAGAGACACATAGGGAGCCTTTCGAAAATAGCGATTCCCAAGACCCATCCCTGGAAGTTCTGATTCACGAGATCTGGGGTGGGGCGAGGACATCTATATTTAGGTTCCCAGGTGATTCAAAACTGCTGATATACATAGAACAACTCAGTAAGGCAAAGCAACAGATAAACAAACACAAACTGGTACAATGAGACAGCCTTTTGCAAAGTGTGGTCCTTTATCCCATGCATCAGAATCAAGTGGGGGGTGTGTTAAAAAATGTTTTAGATTCCATCCCAGAATTTGGATCTCTAGGAAGTGGGGTCAGGGCATGCACATTTTAGGCAAGGCCCTCAGTGATTCTGATACCCAGCAGAACTACTGAACCTCTGCCCCAAAGGCACACAGAATTGATAACTGAGCAGAATCCCGCAAAATAATCCAATCAGGCAATACTGAACTCTGTACCAGACATTGCTTGAGGCCCTTGAGGGAAAAGACCTCGCTTTCATGAAGCCCCTATCTCAATGGAGAAGACAACAAACACATAAACATATGTCTGGTGGTAATGATGTTATGAGGAGAAATAAACATCTAAAGGGCCATGGGATGCTATTTTAGATATGGTGGTCAGGATAGGCTGTGGTAGGTACCAAGGAGAGCTTTACCCTGAGACCTGAGTGAAGGACAAGCTGCAGGCTACAGGAGCAGATAGGGAAGCGCATTTCAGGCAGGGGGAAGAGTGAACACCAAGGCTCTGAGGGCAGGGTATGCCTGAAGGTGCAGAAACTGGAGAGTAAACCAGGGGAAGTCAGGAAGCAGGAAAGAGGGGTGTGTGTGTACTGGTGGTGAAAAGGCAGATCTTGTGTGACTTTTGTAAGGATGGCATAGTCTGTTGTGAGGAAGATGATATGCCCATGGAAGGTTCCTAGAAGAAAAGGGACTTGACATTTTAAAAGGAATACCTTGGGCACTGTAGAGGGACAAGGTTAGATGGAGGAAGACTAGAGATGAGGCCTAGGCAATGACTGATTCATTCAGAGATGATGGGTCTTGGAGAAGGTGAGTGGTGGGGAGCAGGTGGTTAGACTGGAAATATAATTTGATGGGAGACCCAACAAAATGTGCTGATGGACTCAATACAGGGAGTGGGAGAAAGAAATGTCATTGGTGACTCCACAATCTTTGGTTTACACAACTGGATGAAGGAAGCTGGCCTTTACCAATGCAGAAAACATAGCAAATTTAGGGTCAGGCTTGGGGGAACAGGACCAAGAAATCAGTTTTTTAGGTGTTACTATGGTATGACTGTGTCCCCTCCAAAATTCAGGTGCTGTCAATGTGATGATATTAAGAGGTAGGGTCTTGAAGAGTTGATTAGGCCATGAGGGCTCCACCCTCATGAATGGGATTAGGTGTCTTTATAAAACGGCTTGAAGGAG